GACAAAAGAGAAACAAAACTAAAAATAAGAAAAAGAGAGGTGGCTCAAAGTGGCAGGGAGTTGTGATGTTTTTAAGAGGTGAAGAAGGTGATGCTAATGCCCAACTAGCAATGTATCATTTAGTAGCTAATGTGTCACCTAGGCTGGAGGGTGCATTCGGCAGGCGAACGGTCTCCGAAATATATTGGAGCGAAACATGCAATACTGGGTAGTGGTAGTAGCATGATAACCGGATAGTGGTGATACTAAGTTAACGGGGGGGTTTAAGGAAGATCAATACTGCCGAATAATGCGCCGTCTATGCTAATTCGTTATGGGTTGTCCTTTCCCTTCCAGTGAGTATAGGCTTTAAACAATGAATTATAAAACATAAAACATAAATAACAAATTGTAAAGTAAATAATAATATAAGGTATAAGATGTAAAATAAAGCGGGTCTCACCCCGTATACAGGTAACTGATGGATAGGTGACTCTAACCTGTAGTCGGCGCTTAGTTCTATGTACATTTAGAGTGTGTGCACACGTGAAAGTTTGTACTCGGAATCGTATGCTTGTGACATAAAAAGACAGCCGCATTGCATATTGCAATCCTGGAACCATAGATGAAACTGCATGGAACTACATGGAACATAAAATAAATTAAAGAAAGTTCTGTATTTAGTAACTCTTGGGTGGTGCAGGCGTGTGCGCTCATCCCCATAATCAAGTGAGTTGTAATTGATAGTATATTATTGTGCCATTCTGAGTGGGTCTAAACGCCCAATATTAGTTAAGCGATGATTTGCACTGATAGTGCTTATTACTTTAGTTACATTTGGATAACCTATTATATTTAAGACAAAGATCTAAGTACAGGAGTACTGGATTGAAAATTGTCGTCCATATTTGAGTGCAGTGTGGAGTTATAGTCTACGGTAAGTTAACATTTAGTGACCGTGAACAATCACGGAGAGCCAGGCTTATAGTAATGCAGCTAACAGAGGTTCCATGTCACAGTGTGTACTTCGAGTAAGGCATGTACGGTTAAACATTTCAACGTTCAGGTGGTAACTAAGGAAGAGTGAGTTAAGGCATATAACTTAACTAAGTGGAGATTTAGAGTCAGCTGTGCTAAAATATCATTACAAACTTAAAAAACATGTTACATAGAAAGAAATAGTTTAGCTTAAGATTTTAACTAACAGAACACAGTACAAGTTATACTCATCACTTTTCAAGCATGTAAGATAGAAGGCAGTTCATGGTTTTGTAGTTGACGATCCCGTCATATTCCAATCCGCCTGAAGTTTTTTCGGGGAAAGGTCTGTTGCTGGTGCGTCGTGTGAGGTTGTTGTAGTCGCATTCCAGAGACCCCAGGAGGTGAGTGCCTTCATGCCTTCGGCTGGTTCGGTTATGACCGATGTTCTGCCTTGTCTCCAGATCAGAAGCTTCGTTGGATAACCCCACTTGTAAGAAATATTATTGTTGCGCAGGGTCTTAGTGATGGTTATAAATTATTTTCGACGTGCCATTGTGGAAGCCGATAGGTCAGCGAATAAAAATATTTTCTGAAAGGGTTCAGGTAAGGTGCCTGCTTTCCGTGCTGCGTTAAGCAGGGTGTTCTTGTGTGCAAAGTAATGGAACTTCACAATGGTGTCTTTAGGAACATCATTCGCCATACGTGCCGCACGTGGAAGTCTGTGCATGCGATCGAAAGTCCAGGCAGAGTCAGGCAAGTCTGGGACTAATGATTTACAAATAGATAGTATAAAAGCCGGTAGGGCGTCATGGGAGATATCATCTGGTATACCCCTAAATCGGACGTTCTGTCTTCTGGATCTGTCCTCTAAATCTGCTAATTTTAATTGAAGTGTATTGTTGTCTTCTGAGAGTTTCTGAAGTTTATCCACGACTTCGTTGTGAGCTACACACAGCTCGTCGGATTTGTTTTCTAAATGACTGGTCCTGTCACCCAGCGTTGAAATTTCCTTCCTCAGTTCGCTGTCGATCTGTAGGAAGTCCTTTCTAATGGTAGATCGGAGGTCTTGCAGCATTCTGTGCAGGCTTCGTTCTGTGATCGTAGAGTCCGATAGTTTGGAGGAGATGCACTCAGCGTCTGACTGGTCGTCCGACATGCCAGGCGCATCGCCGCCATCTTGTCTTTCTTTCCCCCGGTCTTTTTTTCGGGTTTTCACCGCGTCCATGATCTTCATCTGTTTGGGGGGTGACATAGTCGTGGGGTACCACCTTGGGAGCGTGGGTATCTGAAAAATTTGCAGTTTCTTGCTATCGTTGTCGCTAACAGGCTGGATTTACAGCGGAGCTCTCAGGCCATGCGTCCGTACTCGCCGGAAGTCGGACACGCCCCCTCAGCTTGTGATTTTTTTAATTGGGAAGTAGTAAGGTGCTGGCTCTGTTTCCCTGGGTAAAATTGTGTTGTTTCATTTTTCAGATAATGAAGTTTGTTTTGAGAAGGTCTATGTCTCTTAGTTGAGAAAAAAAAGAGAATTGGAGGCACACCCGAAACATGCATTTCTTAGGAATGGTCCTTCTGTAGGGACCAAAACGTATACATAATACAGATTAAGGATCAGCACACACATAAAAATACAGTTTTAAATTTTATAAGGCTATTTAAAATTACCTTTTTAAGCAAACAAATATGGGGATTCAGTCCCACCATATTGCCATATTGTAGTAAGCCCACCAATACTTCACAGTACCCCAATATCAGTGGGTCCCACACTAATTCTAATGTGGGAGACACATTTATTAGTTACATAGTTGCATAGCTGAAAAGAGATTTGCGTTCATCAAGTTCAGCCTTCCTCACATATGTTTTTGCTGTTGATTGAAAAGAAGGCAAAAAAAACCTAGTCTGAAGCGCCTCCAATTTTGCAACAAACTTGGAAAACAATCCTTCTTGACCCCAAAATAGCAGTCAGATGTCTCCTTGGATCAAGCAGCTATTACCCCACTAATTAGAAATGATATCCCTGTATGTTATGTTTTTGCAAGTATTTATCCAATTGCAGTTTAAACATCTGTATGGACTCTGACAAAACCACCTCTTCAGGTAGAGAATTCCAAATCCTCATTGCTCTTACTGTAAAAAAACCTTTTCTTTGTCTTAGATGAAATCTCTTTTCTTCCAGCCTAAATGTGTGACCTTGTGTCATAGTTACATAGTTACATAGCTGAAAAAAGACTTGCGTCCATCAAGTTCAGCCTTTCTCACATTTGTTTTTTGCTGTTGATCCAAAAGAAGGCATGTCCTATGTATTGCCCTGTTTATGAATAGATTTCAAGACAAAAGTTTGTACTGGCCCCAAATATATTTGTATAATGTTATCATATCCCCTCTCAGGCACCGTTTTTCCAAACTAAAGAGATTTAAATTTTTTACCCTTTCTTCTTAAGTAAAATGCGCCATTCCTTTTATCAATTTTTTAGCTCATCTCTGCACTTTTTTCTAGTGCCATGATATCTTTTTTAGAACAGGTGCCCAATATTGCACAGCATATTCAAGCTGTGGTCTTACCAGCAATTTATAAAGAGGCAAAATTAAATTTTCATTCCGAGAATTTATCCCCCTATTTATACATGACAAATCTTTACTGGCCTTAGCAACTGCAGATTGACATTGCATATTGCTGTCTAATGTGTTGTCTATAACAATTCCCACATCCTTCTCGTGTGTGGTTATCCCTAGTTCACTACCACTTAGGGTGTAAATTGCTTGTGCATTCTTAACCCTGAAGTGCATAACTTTGCATTTCTCTACGTTAAATTTCATCTGCCATTTTAGTGCCCAGTCCCCCAATCTAGCCAAATCCCTCTGCAGCAAAGCAATATCCTGCACACATTTTATTACTTTACAAAGTTTTGTGTCATCTGCAAACACTGATACATGACTTTTAATGGCTATTTCAAGATCATTTATAAATATGTTAAATAGAAGTGGTCCCAAAACAGAACCCTGAGGGACACCACTTACCACTTTTGTCCAGCCTGAAAATTTACCATTAATGACAATTTGTACTCTATCCTTAAGCCAATGTTCTACCCAAGAACAAGAATATTCATGTAGACCAATTTATTTTAGTTTGATGACTAACCTATTATGTGGAACCGTATCAAATGCGTTGGCAAAATCCAAGTAGATCACATCCACTGTAACGCTCTGATCTATACTTCTACTTACTTCTTCGTAGAATGCAATTAGGTTAGTTTGATTATGACCTATGTTTCATAAAACCATGCTGATTATTGCTAATAAAGTTCTTCCCAATGAATTCCTGAATATTATCCCTTAAAAGCCCTTCAAATATTGTTCCCAGTCAAAGAAATTAAGCTCATAGGTCTATAATTTCCAAGGATTTTGAACCCTTTTTAAATATAGAAACAAAATCTGCCTTCCTCCAATTCTAGTGCTAGTGCTAAATTTGCTAATGTGTATATTAATAACCTGTTGTAAGAACACATATATATATATATATATATATATATATATATAAATATATTATGCAAAATGAACATGATAAAAATGCAGTGGCAAAACTAAACAATTAAAGTGATAGTGCTTTGATGTATATTCTCACAAAGCAAACCATATATCTGCTCTATAACAAATGAAAATTACAATTAAAGTGCATTACTACCCAAAACCTACTCAAAAATAATCTATTCTGTGGTCACCTCCAAAGGGGCATCTGAAGGTGGGAGACAGGGAAGGGTGATCAACCCAAAATTACTCTAAACTTACTTTAAACTTAAAAGGTAATTGGGGGCACACCTAAAACACACTGAGATATGTGCATTTAAGTAGCCTTATAAAATGAAAACTTTATTTTTATATGTGTGCTGTTCCTTATTCTGTATTAAAGTATTTGACTTTCTCCATCTGAGTGAGAGTGTATCGCAAGCATTGTAATTAGTGATGTCCCGAACAGTTCGCCGAACGGTTCACCACGGACGGCGAACATATGCGGTAAACTTTGACCCTGTACCTCACAGTCAGCAGACACATTCCAGCCAATCAGCAGCAGACCCTCCCTCCCAGACCCTCCCACCTCCTGGACAGCATCATTAAGAATTGTGAAGCTGCATTCTTAGTGAGCTGTCCAGGAGGTGGGAGAGTCTGGGAGGGAGGGTCTGCTGCTGATTGGCTGGAATGTGTCTGTTGACTGTGAGGTACAGGGTCAAAGTTTACCGCATATGTTCGCCGTCCGTGGCGAACCGTTCGGCGAACCGTTCGGGACATCACTAATTGTAATTTGTTACAGTGTTGTTAAGGTACCTAGTTGAAAGGTAAGATGTACATATTGAGACTTTCATTGATTTTTTTCTGATAACTAACATGTTTTATGTACCTTGTATAGAGCTTTATGTACTAACCATATGCTTTCAGCTAAGGTATCTGGTTGGTTGTTTCAAAATATAGTCTCAATTCTCCTTTTATATTAGAAACTATTTTAGGCTCTATTAGTAGTTGTTTGTTTAATCTACACAAACCAGTGCCTTTAATGGAAAAGGAACTTACAGCGTTTGAATTCTGACTATGTTCATTAACAATTACGTTCAGTAATTCGAACGGTATTTCGACTATTTGAAATAGACCGGCCGCACAGCCTAATTCTCTGGAACTGTTTTGGGCATTAAACCATGCGTGCGGAAGGTCAAAAAGAGACTTGCAGGAATTTCTTGAACCCTTGTTCTTATCTGGGTGATTTTGGGATATGTTAGTCACCCAGATCAGAGCTATCACGGGGATATGTTGTGTTTTGGGGTATTTATGATACTTTATAAAAATGTGTGTTTTTCTGCACCATTAAATTTGAGTTCCTGCTTAACCCTCAACACGTAGCTTGGTCTCGTGAGTGGAGGGGAACTGCTATATTCACACTGGGGATTGCTACACTCCTTATACTCTCCTGGGTTCTAATCACTAGCTTGTAAAAGAGCTGTTCCTGCTATGCTATCTGGAGCAGGAGAGGTCTTTCCCACATGGTCCTGGATATCAGAGGTTGGTCCAGGGTGGGAGGAAGACGGCGAGATCCCGGCTAAGCTACGGCAGTTGTGGAGTCTGTGTTGCTTGTGGTGTCCGGTGAGGTGCTTACAGTCCTCAGCGTCAGCTAAGAAGCATCTGTTGGTGGAGGTGCCCATTCGGGGTGCCAGGTAATCCGTCACAAGTGTGTGCATGGGTCAGTGTGTGTATCTGTATGTCAAGGTGTTTGTATGTGTCAGTGTGTGGATATGTGTGTATGTATCAGTGTGTGTATATGTATATCTGGGTGTTTGCATGGGTCAGCATGTGCATGTGTCAGCGTGTGCCAATGTGTTTGTATGTGTCAGAGTGTATATCTGTGTGTCAGGGTGTTTGTATCTATCAGTGTGTGTATCTGTGTGTCATGGTGTGTGTATGAGTCAGTGTGTGTACCGGTGTTTCTGTGTTTTTGTATGTATCGGCACAACAAGCAAACACACTTCTCCAAATGCAAACATTACATAGAAACACACACCTGTATTAAAATGCCAAAATTATATAAAAACACTCTTTCATTCACATACCAACACTACACACAAATGTACACCTGCATTTAGAAACCAACATACAACATACAAACCCTTGCATGCAAGTGCATACACTACACACAAGCACACCACTGCATTCCAATGTCAAACGTACATACAAATACACCTCTACATGCACACACATTCCCTATTTAAAAACATGCTTGCATTCAAATGCACAAACACTGCTCACAAATAAAACCCTGCAACAATGGACACATGGTAGATCTCCAGCTCGCATAATATTGTGGGAGTTGTACAACAGATGGTGATCTAACCTTTGGGTGCCAGAAACAACTTCTTGCACCAGGGCTCCCTCTACATTAGTTCATCCACTGGCACTGAGTAATGGGTTCATAGAGACAGATAGTTTAACTTACTATAGGTTGCCATCCTCCATTTGGGGGTCTCTGGAGGTGTTTCCCAAGAGTACAATTATGCAAAATGTAGGGCTCTGAAAAGGAAGGTTCCTCATACTTGAGAGAAAAATAAAAGTATCAAACCAGACATATGAAGTTACAAAAAGAAAAGAAAATGTAACTATTTACAAATGCCATCTGGGATTGAGTGCTGCTAACACTCATGAGTAATGAGTTGTTGATCATCTTCAGGTGGGAACAGGATCTTCTCCACTCCATTATGTTTAACTATTAGATAAGTTGGGAAACCCCACTTGTATGGAATATTTGCCACATGTAAGTATTTAGTGATGGGTCCGAAAGTTATATCTCAACCTTCTCTGACATTGCACTGGTAGAAGCCCTGCAATTGTGCTGTCAAGTGTATGTTTTTAGCTGCTCTGTGTGCCATGTTGTGTAGCAGTAATAGATAGGTAAGTCAATAGACTTGTGGCCTTGAAGCATGCTGCTTTTTAAAAAAAAATAAAAAAAATTGTTTAAACGTACACATATTGTATTGGAAGGAAGCACTATCTGTAAATAATATATATGGATGCACTTAGAGGGAAAGCGTGAACATGTGAAAAACAGATATTAGAAGTGCCACAAACATATAGAATTTTAGAAAAGCCTTGGTCTCTAAAGGGTTAATGTACCAACATCATCCCCCTATTGACAATGGTTCTCACCCTCTATGAAATCATAAAATCAGCCGATTCTGGGTAAATGGGCTGCTTTTGATTTAATTTAACACTTAAACAAATAAAATAGCAGTACTCTGGAATAATACCGTTTCTGGGTAGGGAAATTAGCCTCTAGAATATATGTTTTTGTCTGCCTGCTAATTTCATAATTTTATTTTAAACATTGACAAAATACTCAAGTCTGATAACCACTACAGTTCTTTGTTTGGTGCCCCGAGTGCCCTGGTGCACCCCTCCCAATTGTAAGTACACAAACTGTTTGGTAACAATTTGATTTCTTACATGGTGTCCACTGAGTGCTTCTTCATGCCTTTTTTCAGTTGGATGTAAGAAAAAAGCCTTAGCAGCCATCCTTCAGTGTGGAAAAAATAGTACCCTATAATCAGCTTATCTCAACTGTACCTGTAATTATTGTGAGCACTGCAAAACTTAGCCAGGGAGTGTCAAAACACTGCAATGAAACGCATTTCTTAAAGTGGTAGGGTGGGGGAGGGAGGTATCAGCAGGATAATTTGAAGGGGATTTTTAAAAAAAGAAAGAAAGTTAATGAGCAATTGTAGCCCAACTCACGTGATCCATTATTTTCAAATTAAATCATTCATGCAATTACTGTTAGGGCACTGTTTTTCAAAAAACTGAAGGATGGTCAGTGGTGGTACAGATTAGATGGAGGGAGAGCTTCATTCTTATCAGGCTGATAGCGGCCCATTGACATCAGTGTGGAAGGGCCCACTGACATCAATTGTCCACTAACCTCAAATGTAAAATTAACGTACAATAACTCCTGCTGCAGATGATCCCCAATATTCATTAATACACAATTGCAAATGGAAACATAATATCATAAAACTAACTTCTCTCACTTCATTTTTTTTTTTTTAATAGAGATAATAATATAGCTAGGAGAAGTTGGCAACTCGTGATTTGCATTGCTAAACTTTAGGCTAGGGCAGGCATAGGCAACCTTCGGCACTCCAGATGTTTTGGACTATACCTTCCATGATGCTTTGCCAGCATTATTGGTGTAAGAGCATTATGGGGAATGTAGTCCACAACATCTAGAGTGCCGAAGGTTGCCTATCCCTGGGCTAGGCAGTATTGTAACAATTTTAGCACATTAAAAGGTACTTTTTTATCCCACCTTTTTGGCTTGTCTGAATTTTTAACTAAATATGCTTCATGGATGATATTCAGGTGAGCAGCATTGACGAGTATTGAATGGACCAATTATTATTTAAAATTTCTTTACACTGTTTTTTTTTTTTTGCTATGGACAAGTCTAGTGTCTATTATCTCAAGTAGAACATTACGAGGAATCTGAATTCATATGACTTACTTCCTTATAGGAAGGTATGCAGGTGAAAAGAGTCCTCAGCTACCTTAGGTTACATTTTGCTGTTTGGTTTTCAAATCACCACAATTCACTGTTTTGCCTATAGTGGTCCTTTAAAGTTATTCATCTGTGCATATATATTGTGAATGAGATACTTTAAACAATATCACAATGTCTTGCTGTTTCAGAACCTTTCTCAACTGTTTTTGCATTATTGATGATAACAGTCCAAAGCTGAAACATCTGTAATGTTGCTTTCAAACATATCAAGAGGAACAAAAAACTTCAGCTTTACATTTCCAAAATAAAAATGCAAATAAACATGTGGAGAAAAAATGTACATACTCTTTAAAATAAAATGTATACGGGCAGGGGTGGACAGACAGTAATCAGAGCACTAAGACATCAATAGCATGCAATAAAGTCACTTCCCTGTTTAATGCAATAGAATAATTACATACATCATAAATGTTCAAAATGGGAACAAAAATTCACTTTGCTTTACAGCAACTAACCAGTTGCAGAGTTTAGAAATACAGAAAATACATTCCAGATGAATACAAAATTGTATTGTATAAGCCCCAAGTTTCACCAAAGGCTTATTTTCTAAGTGGATAATTTACTTGTTATTGACTTATCACCTACAATCTAAATATAGGAATAATGGGAAAATTATAAGAAAATAAAAACAGTGTTTACACAGAGTATTCCACAACAGAAAACCGCAATATTTAAAGGGTATAAATATATTTAAATTGACATTATAGACACCCAGACAGGGTGAACCTGTCATTTTAGCCTGAAGCTGCAACCATTGCAGTTTTAGAGGAACTATAATGTTTACATTACAGTTCTAACACTGTCTTTATTGGCAGTTCTAACACTGTCTAAAGAGCCTATTTGAGTTTGGGGCTCTGTGTCTGTGTGCTATTAGCAGATAGAGATGCCATGATATATTTCAGTTCTAAACACTAATTATGATATAATAAATACTTTCCACTTCTTGACCTCCTCCACCTGAATGACTTAGACAATCTACATTATCAGTACCACCACAGTTAGATACTTTGTGCTATGGTCCTGAATGCGTCTTTATAAACAGATACTTTATATAAGTTTCTAACTTTGTTGTGTAGGTTGCTACTTTATAACTTTTTCACATTCCATATTAATA